TATTCCTTATATATATTTTTTTTTTGAGGCAAGGTTTCGTTACGCACTTCGCTGGCCTTGAACTCACTTCGTAGCCAAAGCTGGTCTCGAACTCACAGCAAGCCTCCTGGCTTACCCTTATTCTGGGATTACAGGCATGAGCCACCACATCCAGCCCAGCAAATATTTTAATTTAATTATTTAAAAATGTATAACAAAGACAATAAAAACTGATAATATGGCATTACAATGGGGATAGTAACCACAAAGTGATTATTTTGTGACATTAGTTCAAAGAGCATTTGTTAAAAGTTTTATTGGTGCACTATAGATACACATAGATCACATTCATCATAGGGAATTTGTACCTGGACATGGTATCACTTCGTTCTTCTTTTCCTCCCAGTCATCCCCCCACTGCCCCTCCTTATTACAAACGCTTCATTTCCATTTTTTTCCTTCTAGTCTCTTTTTTTCCTTTTCCCTTCCTTCCTTTCCCCCTCCTCCTTCCCTTGCTCCCCTTCCCATTTGGATGTTTTCTTCCTGCTTCCCAACATCGGTTATACATTTTGGACCTTATTTGTATTGTTGGTTTCTCACACCGGACTGTGCCACTATAAACACGGGTGAGCCTATGTCTCTGTGGTATGATGCTTTTCATTCTTTCGAGAAGGTCCGAGAAGGGAAATAGCTGGGTCAAATGGAACCTTTAGTTTTATTGTTTTGAGGAATCTCCACACTGATTTCCACAGTGGTTGCACCAGTCTGCACTCCCACCAACAGCGGAAAAGCATTCCTTTTTCCCCACAGCCCCGCCAGATTTGTTATTGGTTGATTTCTTGATGACAGCCATTCTTGCTGGCATGAGCTGAAATCTCAGCATTGTTTTAATTTGCATCTCTCAAATGACCAGTGATGTTGAACATTTCTTCATATATTTATTTGCCATTTCTACTTCATCTGAGAAGTGTCTATTCATTTCAGATGCTTATTTTTGGATTGGGTCTTTAAATTTGGAAAGTCTGGTTTTTTTGAGTTCTTTACATATCCTACATATTAGTCCTTTGTATGAGGAAAAGCTGGCAAAAATTTTTTCCTACTCTGTGGGTTTTCTTTTTACTCTGTTGGTGGTTTCTTTTGCTGTGCAGAAGCTTTTTAATAAGATGGGATCCCAGTAGTTGATTCTTTATGATAGTGCCTATGTGATCAGGGTTTTGTTCATAAAGTTTTTGCTTATACCTATGTCTTCAAGAGTTCTGCTTATTCTATCTTTTAGTAGATTTAGTGTTCCTGTTTTAATATTTAGATTTTTCTTTTTTCTTTTTTTTTTTTTAGACAGGTTCTTGCTCTGCAGTTCAGGTTTGCATTGAGCTCACTTTGTAGCCCAGGCTGGTCTCGAATTCATAACTATCCTTCTGCCTCAGCCTCCTGAGTGCTGGGATTATAGGTGTGAGCCACCATGCCTGGCCTAATATTTAGATTTTTGATCCATTTTAATTTTTGTTTAGTGCATGGTGAGGTATGGGTTTTTACAGAAAGTTAGTTTTCCAGCACTGTTTATTAAACAGGCTCTCTTTCTCCAGTGGGGATGTTTGAACCCTTTGTCAAAGATAAGGTGGCTGAGTGTGTTTGGAGTTGTTTCTGCACCTTCTAATCTGTTGCACTGATCTTTGGGTCTTTTTTTTTTTTTTTTTTTTGCCAGTAACATGCTGATTTTATCGCAGTAGCTTTGAGTATAATTTCAAATCAGGGATTGTGATGCCTTCTGCCTTGTCTTTGTTGCCCCAAATTGCTTTTGTTATTCTAGGTCTCTTCTGGTTCCGAATGAATTTTAGGATTGTTTTCTCCAATTCTGTGAGATATGCTATTGGTATTTTGATCTGGATTGCATTAAATCTGTATGACAATTTTGGAAGTGTAGCTATTTTCACTATATTGGTTCTTCCTACTCAAGAACAAAGGTATATTTCCATTTTCTGATATGCTCTTTGATCTCCTTTTTCAGAGTACTGTAGTTTTCAATGTAAAGGTCTTTTACTTCATTAGAGTGATTCCTAAGTATTTCATCTTTTGGATGGTATTATGAAAGGTGTTTTCCTAATTTCTCTCTCAGTAAGTTTTTCATTTGTGTGTAGGAATGCTATTGATTTCTGTTTATTTGTTTGTTTGAGACAGGTCTCACTATGTAGTTCAGGCTGACCTTGAACTCACTATGTAGCCCAGGCTGGCTGTAAACGCACAGAGATCCTCCTGCCTCAGCCTCCCAAGTGCTGGGATTACAGGTGTGCCAATGTTCTTGATTTCTTTCTCTCGTTCTTTCTTTTTGTCTTTTTAAGACAAGGTCTCACTATGCAGTTCAGGTTGGCCTTGAGCTCACTTTGTAGTCCAGGCTGGCCTCGAACTTGCAACAATTCCTGCCTCAGCCTCCCGAATGCTGGGATTACAGACATGTGCCACCATGCCCGGTTTTCTTGATGATTTCTTGCATTCTGTTTGCCAGTTTCTTTCTTTCTTTTGTCAGATTATATTGGTACATTTTAGATATACATAATGATCACACTCATCATAGAGAATTTGTACCTGTACATGATATAACTTGTTTTTTTTTCCTATCCCTGTACCCACCCTTCAACCTCTCTCCCTTCGCCATTTACAAAAGCTTTGTTTCTATGTTTTCTTCTTCTCACTTTTTTTTACTTTTCCCTTCTTTCCTTTCTCCCTCTCCTCTCCCTTGTTTCCCTCCCCATTTGAACATTTTCTTCCTCTTTCACAATACCTATTATACATTTTCATTCTTATTTATACTTTTGGTTTCTTACAGCAGAGAAACAATGCAGTATTTACACGTGTGTCCAATTTATTTCACTTAAAGGTATGGACTCAGGTGCATCCATTTTTGTAGAAGTGTCTCAAGTTTTCCTTATTTATGGCTGAATAGTACTCCATTGCATAAAAAAATCTTCTTTATCCAATTATTGGTTGATGGGCATTTGGGCTATTTCCAAGATTTGGCTATTGCAAACAGTGCTGTTATAAAAATGGGTGCACATATGTCACTGTGGTATGATGCTTTTAATTCTTTTGGGAAGATACCAAGAAGGGGAATAGCTGGGTTGAATGGAACTTCTGTTTTGGTTTTTTGAGGATCTCTACACTGATTTCCACAGTGTTTACATCAGTCTGCACTCCCACCAACGGTAGAGAAGGGTTCCTTTTCCCCCACAGCCACTCCAGCATTTGTTATTGGGTGATTTCTTGATAACAGCCATTCTTTTCTGGGGTGAGATGGAATCTCAGTGTTGTTTTAACCTGCATCTTTTGAATGACCAGTTATAATGAACATTTTTTCATATATTTGTTTGCCATTTGTATTTTTTCATCTGAGAAGTGTGTATTCATATCAAATGCCCATTTTGCAAGTTTTTTACTGAAGGTTTTTACATCTATGTTCCTGAGGGAGACTGGCCTGTAAT